CTAAATAATTAAGCACTAAAGGTGACTGTTATTGTAGCTTCTAAGAGAGTTTTTGTAGTGATTTAAGTCCTGCCTCTTTTTCTTCAGAGCAGAGACCTGTAACTGATGGAGGGACAGTCCGAATGCATTTCGCTGCCAGAGAACACGATTCTGAATGACAGCTCAGCATTGTGTGGATCTGTTGCTTCTTTTTTATGTCATTGCTGCCAGTTTCCTCCCTTATCCGACAGCACTTTGACAGGCCTTCACTTGAAAACATTTTTTTTCCCCCCAGAAAAATCCTATTATTCTTTGTGTTTCATTTTCAGTTTTACTTATGAGCTCACTGTTCTTCTTTTAGAAAGTGCAAGAGCTCAGAGAAGGTCATTTCAATTATAATGTGCCTTTTTAAAAAATGTAATTTGATTGAATATTTCTGAGTGCTAATCTGTCCCATGATTCCTTTTGGGCTGAACAATGAGGCAGTGTATCATGAAATATCAATGCATGGAGGAAATTGTATTTCCGCAGAATGAGTCACATATCACTTTCACTCCGTGGAGTTGAGGAGTTTTAAAATAATTTTGGCTTTCAAAGAGCAGATAAATCAATTTTGTTTCTCAATCTCTTTCTCTCTGGGTCTCATGAGGCTGCAGAAAGAAAGCCATTAGTGGAGTGAATAGCTTATATTACGGTGATACAGGCCAAATGTAAGTAAAATAAAAAGCTTCTGCTATTAGGAAAGACGAAGGGATGTAATCATTACTCCCATGTGGCGGTGCCTGTCTTAAAAAAAAGTATTTACAGTTTTCTTAGACATGTCAAGTTTAGCATCCTGGGTGTGTTGCCTCTCTGTGGCCTGTAGCATCCTGTGTTTATGCTGTTTTCACAGCACACAACACTGATAACTCTCTCCACAGCCTTGACTCCAAAGTGACATCCTTCCAAAAAACGTGTAGACGAAACATGTTTGGTACATGTGCAGACTTGTTATCTCAGGCTGCCGACCTCGTATGGATCCTCGTGTTTCATAATAGCCCAGTATGGTTACGTTGTCTTTTCTGTAACAACTTACTCAGACCCCACGAGGCAGGAACGTTCCAATTTTGAACCAATTATTATGTGTAAAAAAAAAAAAAAAAAAAAAGCAAATAACAAAGCGAAGGAGTGTTTTATCAGGGAGTCTTTGTTTCAGCAAGAAACGCAGGGACTTTGCTGTCGGCTGTATTGTCGCTAAAGGAGTATCAATCTTCAGATGTCTGTACTTCACTGGACATGAGCTACATAGTAAACCACAAAGATTTAAACAAGCAGGAGATGGGCGACAAATTGGGGGAAAAAAAGGGTCTTAGTAAGACTCTGGGCATCCATGTGCTAGCAAAACAACTTAAATTGATCTTTCCATTGATTCTCAAAGTCTCTGAAACTCTACTTTAGGGATGAACACCATAATTCCAAAAGATATTCCTTTATTTGGTGTTTTCATGACAGTTAGCTGGGATAGCTGTCGACCACATCAATCCAAGTTCTCCCTCAAGTGTTGGATTGAGTTGAGGTCCTGTTACTGTGAAGACCCTAGCAAATGATTCACATCGTTTTGTCAAACCATTCAGTGACCCCTTTGTGTCCTATGGATGAGGGTAAATATTATTGAAAGATGTAACTGAAGTTGTATTTTTATCAGTAAATGAAAACCAAAATCCTGCCACAGTGAGGAAACTACTTCTGTATAACAGTTCTAATATTTGATCTTTCACTGTGACCTCCTTGAAGCTAAGTGTTTTTTTTTTTTTACTGCACTTCTAAAATGTTGGTGGATTTGATGGAACAAGATATCCTAATTTTTTAGTCTTTCATAAGGGCCTATAATACTGGATGCTATACGTCCTTTCCACTTCACTTCTAATTTTCTCTCTTGATGGTTCCTGCCTGGTGAAGCTCTGTCTTCATTTTCAGTGCAGACTTTCGGTTAAAAATGCCATTGCAATTTTAAAAGAAACCCATCTGGCTCCGTATAAGTAAACCAATCTTGATTTGCAAACTTTTTTACTAGCAGCCTGCAGATCATTGATGTGAATGTGACTTTGTCAAGCCTGACATTTTATTATACTGCTTGAAGCCACTAATCCCCTGTTTTTTTAAGAGACTGGACAGTTAAAAACCCATTTTGGTCATTGATAGAACCCCTAAAACTCATCTTTATTCATCAGAATTCTTATTTTTCTTTGCTTCCAAGAAAACAAGCCCTTTCTGTCTTAAAATGGCTTAGATGTGTGTATGCACTGATGCTTCCTCTAAAATGCACAGCTCTATGAAGTCCTGTCCTCTTTCTCCACTCAACAAAAACTGTAAATCTGCTCTGTGCTACACAATGGAAAGTTCTGATATTGGAATTATATATGTATGATCTGCAAACTGGTTCTGAAGAAGAGTTGGCAGGATTGGTTTCTTGTGTTTGTTAAGAATGAAACCCTGGATGTCTGAATGTATGCTTATGAGGCTGCAGTTTTAAGGTGGAAAAGCTCAGCCATGGTGTATTTAAGTGATGATGTGTCTTTCTGGATATTAAAAAAAATCCCACCAAATGCACATGTTAACATGGTCAAAAGATTGATTTTGTCCTGAGGCTTAATGCAGCTTTAATCTAAATCACTACACACCAGCATGCACACATACTTTTTACATGCTTGCCAAAGGCTTTTTTCTGTAAAGGGGAAATGTAATCATATAGAAACAGGGCTGCAGAGACAAGAGAAACGTCTTCCTCTTTTTTTCTGGATGTGCTCATGGCACCGTCACGTCTCGGCATCACTGTAATGTCAGTTCAGTCCACGAGCCAGTAGCTCCAGCACGCTTAAGGCCTCACCCCTCCTGAATCCAGCCGTGCAGCAGGACGTATCATTTCTCAGTGTCTGCTGAGCTCAGGCTAAAAAGTGCAAAAG